TGGGTTGGATAGTATCAATTGCCCTACCCACACTGCACCAGCTCAGCACCCCTGTGACCTGCTCCACACTGAGCCAGGTCTGCACTGCCACCCCAACCTACAACAACTCACCCTAAAGTTGCCCTCCAGCCAAAATAATTTCACACCCTTGCACTAAAGAATGAATTAAAATGAGATGCCCTAAAAAATTACAACCTTATCTGTGATTGATGTAAATCATCATAGCTCTATTGGCATCAGTGGAGCAATATCATTTCCTACCAGCCGAGGATCTAGCCTACAATCTTAATTTCCCACATTGGATTTCCTCACAGCAGCAGCAATTTATGTTCTTTGATATGCCAGGTCCATTTCATTATACCAGATTCCCTGCAAGGCACTCACAGCTGTTTGATGAAATCTACATTGCAGCAGTTTGATGAAATCCCTTACTTTATGCCAGAACTCAAGGTGAGCTGCAATTTATTTAATGGCAAATGATATTTTGTTTGACTTCTCCACTGACAAGTTTTCAATGTAATTGCCAAGCAGTGTGACGCTTTAATTTTTTGCAGGTATTTGGAATTCAGGGGAGGGAACGGAATGGAAGCTGGATCTGTAATACTCAATAGCTTTTGGTTTTCCCTGATATCTGGAAACAATATAGCAGTCAAATCATTAAAATCGCTTAAAGGACCAACCTGGGTATCCACTTCTACCCATGCAGACTGGAGCTAATGAGGCTGCATGGGGTTACATGAAAGCAGGATTTGTCCCTCAAAACTTTTACCAAATGCAATGTGTATTATATATTTATCTTTGCTACATATCATAATGACTCTTGGCAGCTAAGTCTCATAAAAATTCAGATGGTATTATTTTGGCTAGATACAGGCAATGTCTGAATATTCATTTTACTGCAATGACATGAATATTTAGACATTCTCAGGTAATGCTCTGATTGGATACTCAGGTGAATGCATACAGAAAATACAGGCTTAAAGGGGGCCTACAGAAAAGTCTAACTAAAACCTGACTGGAACAAAAGGAGTAAAGTTTCTATTTCTAGTTAAGAAAAAGACTGTTTTTCAGATTTACCATTTGTATTAGGATGATGCCTCAGGGGCCCAAGCACTGGAAGCTCCAGAAACAATTAAGGAACAACCCCTGTAGTGATCAACATATTCAATAACGACAGGCAGGTATGAATAAGAAAAACTAAACAACTTGTGCTGTGGGACAGCAGACAAGCCTCTGCAAACCCATTGTCTCTTTCTAACTGAGGGGCCATCCCCTCATAGATTCATAGATGTTTGGGTTGGAAGGGACCTCAGTAGATCATCAAGTCCGACCTCCTGCCCTGGGCAGGAAAAAGTGCTGGGGTTAGATGACCCCAGCCAGGTGCATGTCTAACCTCCTCTTAAAGACTCCTAAGGTAGGGGAGAGCACCACCTCCCTCAGAAGCCCATTCCAGATTCTGGCAACCCTTACTGTAAAGTTCTTCCTGATGTCTAACCTAAACCTTCTCTCTGTCAGTTTGTGTCCGTTGTTCCTAGTTACTCCAAGGGGTGCCCTGGTAAACAGAGCATCTTGTATTCTTTGCTTCCCATCTCCCTCCCTGCCCCACCTCCCAATGAATTTGTAACCAGCCACAAGATCACCTCTCAACCTTCTCTTGATGACTGAAGAGATCCAGGGCCCTTAATCTTGCCTTGTAGGGCTTTGCCTGCAGGCCTCTAACCACACGAGTGTCCCTTCTCTGAACCCTCTCAAGGTTGTCCACATCCCTCCTGAAGTGCGGTACCAAAACTGGATGCAGTACTCCAACTGCGGCCTGACCAATGCCGCATAGAGGGAAAGTATCACCTCCCTGGACCTGTTCATCATGCACCTGCTAATGCATGATAAAGTGCAGTTAGCTTTACTGATTGCTTCATCACATTGATGACTCATGTTCATCTTGGTGTCAACAATGACTCCGAGATCCCTTTGTGCTGCTATACTGCTGAGAAGGTCCTCTCCCAGCCTGTAAGCATGCTGGTGATTCCTTCTCCCTAGGTGCAGCACTTGTCTTTATTGAATTGCATCCTATTCTGTTCTGCCCACTTTTCCAACCTGTCCACAGATTCATAGATGTAGGGTCGGAAGGGACCTTGCAGACCTTCTAGTCCGACCCCCTGCCCTGGGCAGGAGAGAAAACTGGGCTCAAATGACCCCAGTGAGGTAATCATCAAGCCTCCCCTTAAAGACCCTCAAGGTTGGAGTCAGCACTACTTCCCTTGGGAGTACTTCTCTAGCTGCCCTGACTGTGAAGTACTGCCTTCTAATGTCTAGTCTGAACCTACTCTCTAACAACTTATGGCCGTTATTTCTTGTTACGGGAGGCATTCGAGAGAAAAAGGTCTCTCCCATTCCCCGCTGGTCCCCACTAGTAAGTTTATAGATGGCCACCAGGTCCCCTCTCAGCCTTCTCTTGTGAAGGCTGAACAGGTTCAGGTCCCGTAGCCTCTCATTGTAGGGTCTGCCCTGCTGTCCCCGGATCATATGAGTGGCCCTCCTTTGGACCCTCTTGATGCTGTCCACATCCCTCCTGAAGTGTGGTGCCCAGAACTGGATGCAGTACTCCAGCTATGGCCTGACCAGTGTTGCATAGAATGGGAGGATCACCTCCTTGGCCCTGTTTATGATGCATCTGTGGATACACGACAAGGTGCGGTTAGCCCTACTGATCGTGGCCTCGCATTGGCAGCCCGTGTTCATCTTGGAGTCGATAATGACTCCACAATCTCTTTCTGCCACTGTGCTTTTGAGAAGAGAGTTCCCCAGTTTATAGGTATGCTGCTGGTTCTTACTACCCAAGTGCAGCACCCTGTACGTCTCAGTATTGAATCCCATCCTATTCTCATTTGCCCACCCCTGTAACCTGTCCAGGTCCAGCTGTATCCTGTCCCTCCCTTCTAGCGTGCCCACCTCACCCCAAATCTTGGTGTCCTCCGCAAATTTAAACAGGGTGCTTTTCACTCCGCCCAAGTCGCTAATAAAGAAATTGAACAGTGCAGGCCCAAGGACTGAACCCTAGGGGACTCCACTGCTCACATCTCTCCAGGTCGAATATGACCCATCCACCACCACTCTCTGGGTGCGGCCCCTCAGCCAATTTGCTTTCCATCTGACTGTGTAGGCATCAATGCCACAGTCGCCTAGCTTTTTAATGAGAATGGGGTGAGAGACAATGTCAGAGGCCTTCCTGAAGTCCAGAAAGACTACATCTACCGCAACACCTGTGTCCAATGATTTTGTGACCTGATCATAGAAGGCAATCAGGTTGGTCTGACAGGACCTGCCCCTAATGAGCCCATGCTGGTTGCCCCTGAGCCATCCCTCCTGCTCGTCCTTCACAGATGTGCTCCTTGATAATCTTCTCAAAAAGCTTCCCCAGGATTGAAGTAAGACTAACGGGCCTATAGTTGCCCAGGTCCTCCCTCCTCCCTTTCTTGAAGATGGGGACCACATTGGCCCTCTTCCAGTCATCTGGCACCTGGCCAGAGCACCACGAGTGCTCATAAAGCCGTGCCAGGGGCCCCACAATAACCCCTGCAAATTCCTTCAACACCCTGGGGTGGAGAGCATCTGGACCTGCTGATTTGAACACGTCCAGCCCCTCCAGAAGTTCTCTAATTCAGTCCTCCCTGACTCTAGGCCTGGCGGACCCCCTCCTGAGTCTGTCCCAAATCTCGGTGGGGGAGTCCTGATCCCTGCACAAAAAAATGGAGGCAAAGAAATTGTTTAAAAGGTCTGCTTTTTCCTCTGGTGCAATTACCAGATTGCCTCGTGTATCCTACAGGGGCCCCACATTACCCGCTGCCTTTTCATACTCCCTATGTATTTAAAAAAGGACCTTTTGTTGTCCTTGATGCTAACTCTAGTTCCATATCTGCCTTAGCTTTCCTAACAGCCCCTATACAGACCCGAGTGATGGAGGTATACTCCTCTTTGGTGATAGCCCCTCCCTTCCACTGGGTGTATGCCTCCTTTTTGGCAATCAGGCATTCCCAAATGCCCTTGGTGAGCTAGGGGGGCTTTTG